GTAGGGTTTTGTTCGGGGACCCTAACCCTAGCCTCTGACTCAAAAGTCTGACTCACGAGGCAATGGGAGAATGTAGGGTTTTGTTCGGGGACCCTGACCCTAGCCTCTGACTCAAAAGTCTGACTCACAAGGCAGTGGGAGGACGTAGGGTTTTGTTCGGGGACCCTGCCCGGAGCCGATGACTCAATAGTCTGACCTGCTCGGCTGCAGGGCGTTGGCCTAACCCGAGGGCGCAGGGAATAAGGCATTACTGTCTCATTCCTGATGCGGCTGAACACAACAGGTGCCTTTTGAGCTGCACCTGGGTCATTGGTTTTAAAAGTATTTCGACCGTATTGGATAATGCGCCGGCGGTCACGGTCAACCGTTGGGCGATCGGACTGTGCGGTTTTTGGGGCCGGCCTTTTCTAACCCGTCCTTCCTCGGGGGAAGGCAGCATCGCTGCTTCCATAAATATGGACATGCTGATCGCCTGGGGGAAACACCTTACTGCCTTCACACTCCTGTCTCAGAGGACAGTACGACTTTACCTCCAGACCGCCTCGTACCACGATTACTCGTAGTGCGGGGTCTCGCTGGTCTTGGTCTAGCTGCTCCCCTTTGGCCTTCCTGGCATGGTTAGACCTTGTGGAATGAAGTTCCAGCCGGTGTAGCCCACGGGATCATTGCAGCACTCAAGCCCGACCACCACGTCAAGGTGGCAGCTTTAGGTCGGGTTTGGGGCCTAACTGTTGAGGAACCCTCCGTCCCTCGAACGTACGGTGTGTCATTTGTGCAGTCCAGGAATTCTTATATTAGGACTACTACAGGCGTCAACGACGACGACCTCAGAATTGAGTTGGCGGGTACCTTCAAATGTATGTTGGAAAATATTGATAGGGTATCACCCGGACACTGAAAAATGTCAAATCACTGTTTAACGGCTTTGATGCAATGATAACAAAGGTGCTTCCGTTTATTTTCCGTTTCCTCGTACAGTATCTCAGTAACCTCAAAACCAGTATTCTGCCCATATCCGTCACGTACTGACCAAAAGTTGTACCGTCCTCCCGAATAATGGTGGAGATACCGTGGATAGCGGTCGGTCTCATAATTTCGTCGTAAGGTTTATTCCTCACATGCTCTACTTATTTTCACCCGCTTTATTCCCCAGCGGCTTCCCCCGAGAGATCTATCCGTTCAGTTGGTTTCTGGCGGCCATTCAGCTTTGATATCCACTGCTCTGGAACTGGGCTAGGACGTTTGGCTAGGTTATCGTTCTGTGAGGTAGTTTAGTTCCGTGGGATATAGGATACGGCTGATTTTAATCACGATTTTGTTTACATTTCGTAACTCCTCAGCACTTTTCGGTTAACTTGCTTCACTGTCGATTATTTTAGTCTTCAGGGTTCATCACAAATGTACTCTTGATGGTAATGATTGTCACTCCAGCCTTTGGTATTATCATTGTTTCGTTTTTTCCTTCAGAGGTGTCAATCTCTTCTACGGCAATGGGGAGTTTTGTGAGCTGATTGGACAGGTGCGGGAGACTGTTGTTAAGCTTAGGTGAGTTATTGAAACAACTTTGCACCCATAATCTCATTGTGTACCTCGCTAGGCAACGTGTGCATAAAGTTAAACTACCATTAAATAGCGGGCGTCAGTTTAACAGTAAACAGCATCTTTTAATTCTTTATCGCGAGACGTCCTCGTACATGGCCACTACGGGTCTTCTAGTCGGTAGTTTCGCATCTTAACTGATTTGTTCTCTCAAGTCATGAGAGCACTGGTGTTATGCTTGTGTGAAGGTAGTTCAGTCTTCAAAGTTGCCGACGGGATTTACTGTATCCCAGTTAGGTTTTCGCATCCATGCCACAAGGATCTATGACAATTTTCCTGATCCCTCAATTCACTACTCTACCTTATCGTTTTCGTTCAATTTCATAGATGCAACACAGCTGCCAATGGGATCCACTTGTCGTTCACTGAGCGAACTGATTGTCGTTACACTGTGTTGGTAAGTGCGCGTTGGGGTTTATGAAATCCCGCTAGTTCATAATTCGATATCACACTCGACTAACGAAAGACAGGTTTCATCATCTGAACAGCTCGATCCAAAGGAAGAACATGAGGCTGCCGTGAGACTGGTTTACATAACTGTTTGACATTTAGCGGGTTCACCTATGTCATTCGAAGTAAATTTCTTACTTGGGCTTTCAGATACCTTCCCATATATCGGTTCATTGTATTTTTTAGGCTATTTAAATGCAGTAGAATTCACTGTCGCTAAATTATAAACGTTGATTTTAGCAAAACTGTCCATCTTGCCGTTCATCTCGAACAGGCCATCATCTCTCGTCTATGCCACATTGATTTCGATCTCATGCAGAATCATTGCAAAACTAAAGGGACTTGTGTTCGCAGTCACACTCGGGTTTATGGTAACTGTCCATATTTTCCCATAACAACGCTCGCACAGACGGAATGAGAGCTGTGGGATCTCCCTTGCTTGAATGGGTGGCATCACTGAATCCGAATTGACTTTCAACGTCGGCATATTTATTCATTCCAATTAGTCGCGACCATCTTCCTATGAAAAGATGAGCAGCATCACTCGTGTCACGGACTAGGGTGATCTGAACCGCATTCTGACATCTTCAGTCCTTTTTTATTCGCGTGGTCTATTTTAATTTCCATCTCGGTTCGAGATAGCTTTGGAGCGACTCGACCTCTTGGCGAGCGACTAGAGACTAGTGCAGTAGAGCTGTGTTTACTACTGTTGATAATAAAGAATGTCAGAAAACAATCATTCGGCTGATGCACCCTTGTAAGCATAGATGTGCAAACCGAATGAAGTCCGAGGGCTAGGATACTGTTGGGTTTTCCAAGCCCATTGTCCAGGCATTCAAAAAATCATTGCTATATTCGAACCGGTCGAGTCAATAGTCTTGTGCTTTAACCGCTGAGCTATTTAAGACTCCATTGATCAGTGTGGTGGTTCCGTTTATCAAAACTTCCATGCGAATTGCACTGCAATCGCCATATAGACAACCCTCACTGTATTTTCATGCAATACATCGTCCACGTGCACATTTGCTCACCACAGCATAACCGCAGATCGTAGACGTTGAGTGCAAGTCCGGTGGTTGCTAGTGGGCCTTGACCTGGCACTCACAATCGCACTCTGACCAGTAGACTGGAAGTTGGCCAGCAGCAACTCAGTAGATCTGTAGCTTGTTTTAAACAAGATATCGTCAAGATCTACATTAAGTCATGCTCTGGAACCGTATTGAGGCTTTTGGTTGAATGTCATCTTGGGTTGAAGTCGTAATAAACGTTGGAGGATTTTAATACAGAGCCTTAGTTTCGGATCAGAATACACTTCTCAATCCGGGAATTTCAGCGTGTCCGTGACGACGCACGCTACTTCGTGCTTGATAGTGAACGATACTACATCATTATACAAGCTTATGTCGTGTTCCAGCTATTCACACAAATAAAGGGACGACGACGTTGTGCGTAAAGGCTAAGTGGACGATGAGTTGAAAAATTTAAATATAATGCGAGAGCTGATCAGGTTTCTTATCCTTTTCTGACTTTCCGACTACTGTTGCCTAGACTTATGCAAATTCGCGGCATGCTGGCGTCCGCGTTCATTCGGGTGTTAAAACTGAGATGTTACATACCTGCATATGTCGCTCAATCCACGGAATTCGTCCGACCTCATGGGGCTGCGTAGCCGATCTCCCCGCGAGCGGTTGCAGAAACTTCATTTCAACAGTAGTATAATCTTCATGCTCGCATTTTTACAGGGAGTCGTGTCATAGGGCTTTGTTTCTTTCCCTGATTTGTCATTTCCGATCGCAAGCTGACTGTTTCATCTTCAAACAATCACTAGAGAGAAGCACTTAATCAGTCTCACGCATCCGAACATTCGCGATTGGCAGACTTTCAGTCATATATAGGCTAGTGGAGCTCATAATCCTTATTGACCCTTGATGCCCAACTGCTACTCATTCCGAGGTCAGATAATTTCATGGGATTCTAAGCTACCCATCCGTTTAGTCACCCCAAAAATTGCTCAACCGTAGCACGGTGCCATCAGAAGGGAGCACGAGGACTTGGATACTGCCAGGTTCCCGAAGCCTTGGGATCCTAGGAATTACGATCGTCGAATGGATGAGCTAGTGTGGATCAACCCTTCCGTAATGGTGCTGCAATGTGGAAATCGTTCCCCTGCTAAAAATATTTCTTCCCTGCTCCTTTCTGAAGCCAGTTGTACCCTCTTTGCTAAGGGAGCACGAGACTTGGATACTGCCAGGTTCCCGAAGCCTTGGGATCCTAGGAATTACGATCGTCGAATGGATGAGCTAGTGTGGATCAACCCTTCCGTAATGGTGCTGCAATGTGGAAATCGTTCCCCTGCTAAAAATATTTCTTCCCTGCTCCTTTCTGAAGCCAGTTGTACCCTCTTTGCTAAATCAATTCAATTCAGACTAGATTAGATTCCCGGGAACGCTGTGTTGTGTTGAGGCCGCATGATTGCGCCAGATGTGCTTCGTTTGGCTCAGGATACAAATTTGTGCATGTGGTGTGCATTTCTAATAAAGGTTCACGACAGGTATTATGTACGTCAGCTTGCCGTGAGAATTGGCTGCATCTCTTTACTTAGCCGCAGGCAGCACTTTCGTGATGGCAGGTGTTCACACTCTCCCGTTTCTTGTGACTATTTCTACGGACTTACTCAATAGGTAGAGGTACATTTGCTTGGTTGACTAAACAATACTGGTGTAGACAGAAAGCGGATCACCATGCTCTGGCATGCAACCGGATAGATTTTGTTCCCTTTTTTTTATTTTTTTCAGGTCGAAAGTTCGGCGTTCTGTGAACTGACAACAGATGAGATAAAGTCCCTCGTCTACTGACTTTCATAGGACACCTGTTTTATAACTTCGGGAACGGGTATAGTTCGCGGATTATCACCCCGGATATTCGCGCTTTCATCTGGCACTGGTCACCTGTGAACCTTATTATTCTATTTTGTATCATCATTGTTTAATCTACCACCTTACGTGATGTGCCCTGCTGTTTTCATGAAGTTACCAGCTTCCTGCAAATACCTGCAATTCTAGTTTACTAGGTACAACGAAACAATAAAGACTACACGAAGCAATGTCAATCTTCCGCATAATGTTTGGCAAATTCGGGTCACGCCAGGTATGTAGAAGGATTCGTCCTGCCCATACTTAGTCTTGGATTTCCTCGGAGTAATAAGCACCGTCCTGATGAGTTTATTGGGATTAGCTGCGCGTCGTATGTAAAAAGGTGAACTTGGGCAGTTGTTTTAAGTTAAGGTCATAGTAATCGATTACCCTAGTTTTCTAGGAAGGGTTCTTGATGCACTACGTCTGTGTTTGGCATTAACAGCAGAGTTAATAAACCAATACACTAATTTACTAGGAGGCGCAAAGCGAGAGTTCCCAGTCACGCTCGAGTTGGTGTTAGATCACCCTTAGATTTACAAGCGTGGCTTCCTCGTTGAGTGGCATTATGATATACCTTACGCTGTCCGCGGAGATCACCCATCACAATCTCAAAAGTGATGTAATAGCTCAACTGCAGCCACACTACCTATTAGGGGAAGATCACACATCGCAAGCGGTTCGGACCGATTGCCGGTTGGACAAACACATTTAACCTGGCACCACCGTCGCGCCTCAAGGCAGTGCACCGAAGGTCTTTTGGGTTGTCTTATGTCCGAGAAGTGGATATCCACATAATCGACGCCGTACCGCACTACATTGAGAAAGACCATGTGGTTTAACTGCGCTGAAGGACCTGGTGGACTGACCTCGGTGTGTCTACTTAGCCACGACTTGAAAGTGGATATCAATCAAAAGTACCGAGACACCGGACAGTTTTCGTTACTACAAACCAGTGCGATTGGAGATGGCAGGTCTCACCATTTGATTGCCTATACAGCTGAACCCCCATGAATAGCTTCTTTCTTTATTGGAATCTTATATTATTGCCACCACGCGGAACGCACACTGGAGCTACAGTATCCCCATTAGGGATAAGTAAAGCCTACAACGACCGAGCTGACTGAATCCGTTTACCTACCTACTAAACAGAACCAGGCCCGCTACCTACTGTAACTGTTCATGACAGCAGCAGCCCGACAGTTTCAATTGCTACGTTAAACTTAAGTCATATCGTATGCCACTTATACAGTGGTCAGTGCCATCCACAGTAGCCGCTAAGTATGCAATAAGGTTACTTGTGATGAACAATCAACTCTCGGTTTGATTAGGTTGTCCAGCGGAAGAGTGACTGGAGTCGAATGGCCCGAGCAACTGACCAAACATCGACGAACTCGCAGTGTGGCAACTTGAACAAACTTTGCAACACCGAAGTAACTAGGCTCACTGCACTGAGGCGACTGACAAATGTAACATTAGTGGGACACGACCTAGTGGATCAGCACACGTAAAACGTTGATTCATAGTAAAGAACGCGATAAACTGTACAAGCCCGAAGGGGCTTCATGCACCTGAAGATACGAAAACCAACGTCGTTATGAGTATTCTCCAACCCATTCCGACCTATTGGATCAAGCACAGAAACCCGCCTCACGCATGATCTGCGGCTGACTGATAACAGAGTCTCACAGATTGACTATTGTCCACTTTTCTCTCCCGACGCAGGTACCGCGAGCGCTACCAATAGTGTTGCCATCTTCTCTGTGGTCTTTATTTCCCATCTCCAGAGAACAAAACACCGATTGAAGATAGCTATTATTCATAGGTAGAGTGAACTGAACCAGGATCACCAGAAAATGCAACCTCACACAACTAATCATCATCCCTAGTCCTCCTTTAATCATCGAGTCAACTGACATCACGCTTTCCTCGCTACACTTTCTGGCTCCAAGATGGACCAAGTGGTTAGAACGCGAATTTACTGACCAGCAGGTCCGTGGTTCGGACACGACCTCTGCCATTCGACTTCTCCTGTCTAGGCTTGGGCGACCTGGAAGTATCCCAGCCCTCGTGCCTCCTTCGTGTGGCATCGCAGCTAGGCACTGAAAAGGTACTTATGTTCTTTCACAAAGGGCCCACATAGTAAAGATCGGATTTTCAACCGTGATAACGTCTCTAGGCTTGGTAAATAGGATCATTTTTATCATATACAAATAAATCACTCTTGACACTAGTGCTTCACTGACTTGCAATAAGGTAGTAGTAGTATTGTGTTTCCCCCCAGGCGACCAGCATACCCATATTTATGGGAGCAGCGATCGTGCCATTCACCAAAGAAGGGCGGATTAGAACAGGCCGGCTTTCAAAACCGCATCTCCGATCGCCAAACGGTTGACTGACCGCCGACTGGTCATGACCAATACGGTCGAAAAACACCTTGCACGATCCAGATGTGGCTCCAGACGCACCCATTAGGCGCGACAGCATTCGTAGTGGGACCTCTCTCATTCCCTGTGCCCTTGGGGTTGTGCCAGGTGATGCAGGCTAAGTCCATTGAAAGGAACCCTACCGCCAGGTGCCCCACGGTCCACACTTTTGAGCTTTGGGGAGGGTCAGATGCACCATTATGATGCCATGCGGATCATATTTTTTCGATCAAAAGTATCGGGTTGGGTCCCTAACCAACACCATTCCCACCCTGCAGGCAAACTTTTCTGATCATTGGATTGTCAGTTACTTGAAAGATGTGCCTTATCCAACTAGTTACCCACTAAGAACGAGACAAAATAACGCTTTGCTAAATCCATGAGATCCCTTCTTACTTACAGCGCGTACGAGACTCAAACGTGGCCACAAAGTACTCCCTCATATCTCGCTCTCCATGTGTCCAAAGATCCAGAAGTGATAACTCGTGGAATATATAGCACTAAATCGCATAGGTGAACGCGCTTTTTCGAAATGGATTTCAGGGAACAGTGGTCTTTGAACTGCTCAGTGATCCAGCTCAATGCTACGCGACAAAAACTTGTGCCTGGTTATACGCTTAGTACATGCCCCGAAGGACTGCAATTCTGAAGCTGAGGGGGGAGAGCGAGATGGATCAGTGGTTACAGCACAAATTTACTGACCGGAAGGTCCGTAGTTTGAACCCGAACTCTGTCTCTTGACATCCCGTCTAAGCTTGGGCAACCTGGCAGTATCACAGCCTTCGTGCTTCATTCGGCTGGTATGACAGCAAGGCACCGAAAGTGTGTTACAGCTGAGCGATTGTCTTATATTTTATCTATGAACGGGGACGACTGCATGCCCAAAACTGGTCGTCTGAGCTCCTTGAAACCACATATGTGCGGTCGTTTCAGAGTAGGTGTTCGGCGCACAGACAACGGAGAGCGACTTCTTTGGACGTGTTCCGACCATTTAAAATTTTCTGCATAAGTGATCGCTCTGCGTTACGCGGCGGCCACCAATTACAAACTAACTGTGGGTCTAGTTGAGCCACGAGGCTATCAACCACTGATGGAGTGTCAGAATTCAAGATCGCCATTCCCTGATTCCTATCAAGTTTGGCACTCGAGAAGTTCTTTCCCCATAGTGCTTTCCTGAAAAACAGCAATCACAGGTTTTCGTTGGTGCCAGGAACCCCATAACAGCGGGTAACGAGTATGGTTGTGCACATAAATCTTCATACGCCACATACCGAAGAGCCTAAGAAAAAGCCAACAGCTTTGGCGGACAATGAATGCCTAGGAAATGGTGACAGCTTTTGTCGCCATGCCCTATACCATTTAATACGATCAGCTGACCAAAAGGAAGTAGCTCTCAGAGAAACAATTAGGGATAAAAACGGCTCAGTAATTCGCCCACAAAGCCACCCAGTGGAAAAATGGGCCGAGCACTTCAAAGATGAAAATCTACAGGACTGGGAACATCGACAGTCACTTGCCATGCCGAAAAGATATCCCCAAACAGCATGGAAACCACCATGGTATTAGCTTGGTGCCTTGTGGAATCTAATCTGAGCCCCCTGGTGTCGTTACTGTACACTGTAGGGGCAGATCCGTGAGGACCAGTCGGGATCCCGTGCTGCAATATCACACATTCACCTCCTGGCAGAGATAGCGACAGCTTCCAGCAAACAAAGATGTTGATACTTCTTGCCTTCGACTCTGTGGACCGTCAGGCACTATGGCAATTGCTCGCATATCCTTCCGCCAGAGGGGGCGAGCTTTTGAACCTCACCAGCCTGGGCAGCTGTATCAACCCCGAACGCCAAAGGCGATATTTTCATCCTGATTGGAGTCAGGTAGAACACTCATCATCAACAGCATGACATCAGTATTCAACACCGATGCTTCACTACCGTACAACCATGACTTATTTGAAAGCCTTATTGTAAAGAAAAGAGTAAAGGTGGACGGGGGAGGGACTTAGTGCTAGCTTAACACAATCATTCGGAGGTGCCTACACCTCCAGACATTCACTCAGGCAATCTGGATAGAAACTGACAACAAGAACGCCTTTGACATCGGTTGGCAGCCATATCTTGTAGTGTCTCTAACCAGGCACAGTGAGGATCACGCAGTCCTCATCCTGGAACGCGAGTTGCACCCAAGCGTTTGGTGATCTCCTTCATACTCCTCTGCCAAGTCAAGGGTTGGCCACCTCTCTGTTTACGCCACTCTGAGTTGGGCATGGAAAACAGCACTCTCTTCGGCAAACGATGGTTACAGGATGCGTAACACATGTCCCAACCAACGCAGCTTCTGGTGCTGGACATGTTTTTCAATGAAAGTACCCGTTACATAATTGAAAAAACGCTCTCTAACTGCCTCGTTACCGATTCGCCGATGACTTTGGTCAGTTCATCCAAGAATACTTGCGCCTTTTCCTCCTCTTCGAACATGAGAACGATGTCGTCTGCATATTCCAGATCGACAAGGTTTTCTTCACAGGCTATTTGAACACCAGGGTTTTGGAGACCCTCCAGCGTTCGTCTCATTATTTCATCGACCACTAAAAAGGAATGGAGAGAGTGGGCATCCCTGACGGACACCGTTTTGTATACAGCTACAAAGGAATGGCCTGTGGTTACCATTCAACTGCAGTAGGAGCTGCTCATTGTCTGTGTCACGTGTCTAATTACCACTCGTGGGGCCTTAGTAACGCTATGGCCACAAACCTGTACGTTCATATGATCACAACAATGTCTGAGCTGTTAGCTCCTTGTGAAAGATCACTCTGAGAGCCGGAAACTGTTCTTGGCAAATCCAGAGCCACAGTCCGTTGAGACGTATGCTAAATAAATAAATGGGCATAGATTAAGGATTCTTTCACCAAAGCTTTCGTACGAACTGCGCAGAGGCGTCTATCAACGGGTATTCAATTATGTGAAGACGTCTGCATGTTATGGCTCAGCACCCGAGGTAAAGGTGATATTACGCTGTGTACTACCACGTGATATTTAACTGGGCGTAAGATACTCATCCTGTAGTCATATCAAAGGTGCAGAAGCTGACCAAGTACCCCAAGTTTAAGCTGGAAATTGCGATTTGCGAAGTACTTAGGATCCGCCTCAATTGAAAATAAAAAAATCGTCCAGCTGTAACACCCTTCCGTTGCCTGGCTGCCATGCTACCCGAAGAAAACATGAGGGCCGGGATACTGCCAGGTCGCCCAAGCCTAGGCAGGGGAAGTCGAGAGAGAGACCGGTTTCCAACCGTGGACCTTCCGGTCAGTAAATTCGCGCTCTAATCACTTGAGCTAACTCTCCCCAATTGAACTACGAATGTTATTGATTTTGAGGCTCTGCACCGCCTGAGATCAGGAAGCTTTTCAGGTCCGTCACGAATAGACCACACCTTACCGCAGTGATAATTTGCGCGTCCTCACGATCCACTGAACTATGCTGGCGGGTACCCGCGTAACCCTCATGGTCTCACACCAGGTTGGTCAAATTTTAGAAGTCAGGTCAACACAATCTGCTGGACCTCCACGTTGGAGACTGGAATTTATGTGGTTACCTGCTCCTTGAAATTGGTAATGGGCTTGCATTTCCCGCCAAACATTGCTGCCTTGCAATCGCCTCATTCAGTCAAAGGCTTTCGTCGAGGACCCTGATCGTCATCCTGTCTACACCTGGGTGCCTTGTCAGTATCGCATCAATGCAAAACCATGATTCTTACATCCAACAATGCCACTGTCTTTGCACCTCAATCCTAAACTAATCGCGGATGGAGTGAAATGAGGCGCACTAAAATCCGTAGCGACTGGGACTACATTACTACCTTGTTTAGTTCTCGAATAAACGTATTTCACAACAGAAACTAAGAGCAGGAGCGCCTAGTATTTCTATGGAAGTGACAGGAAGACGCAGAATACAGAGCCTAAGGCGTTCCACCAAGGGAGCCCCTTTAAGCGGCTGAGAACTGTGCCAACAAAGGGGCAACCAGATTTATCGTCATCGTCCAGCTATGATACCCATTCGGTGACTACCCATCACGCCACCTGAAGGAAGCAAGACATACTGCCAGGTTGCCCAAGACAGCAGTTCAGATGTCAGGATGGGGTTCGAGCAACGGATCTTCCTGTCAATAATTTCGCAGCCTAATCAGTGGACTATTTCGGTTTGGGCAGCTGAGAAATCACACGAAGTTTGCAGTCTATTGCCTTTTGAACAGCGAAGTGGACCTAGGTTAAGCTGCTGCACCGGGGTCTCTCACTCGGGAATGAGGCAAACGTCTATCGAGTATCAAGCGTGAGCACAAAGGCAGCCAGTCAACATAAAGCTGCAACGAAAGCAAGTTTTGACCTTAAAAGGGGAAGCGCCCGACATAAGTAATAGCGGAGAACTGGCTACTGGTCCGGGTGTCTGGCTGATGCTCCTCCACCAGGACCGAAGGGTAGAATTGCGCGATGAGCGAAAAAAATGGGGCGCCAACGGATGTGGTTACCGCTTGTGTTCAGTAATCCAGCTTCAACATGTGTATCCAAGTACACTAATCCCAGGTCCTACGTCGCTGAAGATAAGTTAAATGGAGCGGGATCCAAGTGTTGTGACGATTGCACAGCCAGTTCATTGGCGATAAGCAGCCTTCTATTGCAGCAAGGAATGAGGCCTTTGTGGGGAAGTCGGTATGATCACTATTGAGTGCGTATCACATAGCTACCAGGGTTAAACACTGTATGGATTCATCCTGGCTAGACGGAAACTGTCAACGCGACTGAACTGACTAGTGGAGGCTTTCGTGCTGGCGATGTTGCGCAATACATGTAGCTCGGGTGTGCTGCCCGGTTATTGGCCTATGGTTAAGCCGCAAAAATACTGGCCGTAACACCCGTGGTCCAAACCCGATCTCCGCCTCTCGACTAAGCTTGGGCAATCTGGCAGTATCCCAGAACTCACCCTTCCTTATGGTGGGACGGCAGTTAGGCACCAAAACGTTTCTGCCATTTTTTGTTGTTGGTCCGTTCGCCGAGCATGGTAGCTGGATTGCAAACGTTTCAACACCTACCCTCAACCATGCCGTGGAGACCACGGTGATGAAACGTTAGCAGTTCAGCTACCAAGTACGGTGAGCAGACTAACATCCCTGCATCGTCTCCATCTGAAACATAGCTCAGAAGACTAAAATGCTCAGCAATCTAACACGAATAACCCATAGCACCGCCCTTCCTAATGGCCGTCCGCAAGTCTCATTAAGTGATCCGGGCAGCGTCCCCAAAACGGCGATATGGGATGGAGGTGAATCCGTTTGTTCGGGTGAATATTGCAAGGCAGATATCATAAATACATTTGTTAGTGTCTCAAAAGGATTTTACGTTGATGGGCTGATTGCCAGATGGCTGTGATTGACAGCTAGTAACCTTTTTAGTGAAAGTTGCTACGGATTTCCCAAGCAACAACCTGAAGGCTGAGTTCGTCAAACTTATTTGTTTTCTCACCCTGTGGGGGATATTCTCTAGTACAACGCAACGGGTTGGGTGTAACAGCCACTTCAGCATGAGGTACAACCTAAGCTAGATAACACTGACCTATGTACACATCGGCCACTTCCAAGGGAGTCCTTCAATTCCTTGAATTTCAGGGCACGCGTTGGGCCGTCCATCGCCTTGAGTATCAGATGAATATCGTATTGTGACTGCATTGCATGCTCCGAAATCCTATGGAGCTTCATCCCTGGCAGTAAAAGAAACCAAGTACCCCACCCACTGTCAACCCAACTTTGATAAACCCTCGGTTATAATCCTTTCAGACGAATATCGCGGGGCATCCTCCGACTGCGTATTATAATCTACATCGACTGCGTCACTTTGGTACGACAGCTTTCAACTGCGGCCTGGTGAACAGGAGCCAGTAGTCTATTCGCGCCTGGTCAACATGCTGCATTCACATCAGGTCAGTTATTCTCCAATGAACGGAGCGTCGAATTGGTCTGTCACTAGACACACTAACAAATGAAAGTGGCAGAGCTCCCTGGCACAACACCCGTTGGCGTCCCATCAGTTGCGATGCACATTCTTACACCTAACCATCTAACCTGAACTCATCAGGTGAACGGTCGCTTACCGCTGCAACCATGATGTTTCTCATGCATTTCTCCGGGCTTCCGTGAACTTAAGAAACGTGCAGTGGCTAGAAGTCTGCAAATAATCCCCAGTCCTCGCACAGGTTGTCCGCACGGCATTGCGTACATAAAAAGCTTTCTGGGTTTCCCAAGAAGTTTAATGCCCCAAACAATTCAAAGAAATGTACAGAGGACGAATAACTCGTAGTCCTATAGCTTCAACTTTGTGCGCCTCCAATGACGTCTCTTTGCGTTATATCTGAGAATAAGTGACAAGGGTGTCAGTAAACCAACCTGATTTTATTGCCTGTTCGAAGGCGGGTCCAGTGAGGTAAGGTCCGATTCTGTTTCTGCTTTTTACCCAACTTCGTCTTCATCCGAAGGGTTTTGTGCGAACCCTAAACGGTAAATACGTAGCAAAGAAGGCACAAGCATTACCATCGCAGTGCACGATCCACGCGACTAACTGGCAGATTCAAACAAGCGCAAAATTGACCATGCAATGATATGCACCAACAATGCCATTATTCTGAACGACATTGCGGGCTGATGACATTTTATATAACAGGGCCGATGGCGCCACCAAAACTTCGCTAGTAGAATGCTTTCTGCCAAGCGCGCATTTTGAATAATACCGGAGAAACTCCGTTGGGTAGGCCGCCGGCCATTCGCACAATGAGATTGATTTCTCGAAATCTACGGCATTTTCAGACTTGCCACTTCATAGTGTAGAATGTCTATGTATAAGGTACATGCTCCTGTATTATTGAAAATCCTTTACTACGGCGATTTGTTTAAGTGAACTAAATCTGCAGGTGAATAAACACCGCCGACTTTGAATACCTTAACGGATGAAAAAAATCGCGAATTGTGGAAAAGGTTGACTCACATACAATGAACGT